AATTTCCAACCTCTTTAAATAGCATTTTAAAAAAAAATTACAATTTCCAACCTCTTTAAATAGCATTTAAAAAAAAAAAAATACTGGACCAAGAGTCTAGAGAGAGGCTGTCAAGGCTGGAAACCTAATTTTTGATGTACTTCTACAGTTCATTCTTTACCACCATTGTCCTGATATCATAACAAACATTGTTCATGTACTTCAAGATCTAAGACTGAATGGCACTTTAGCAAAAATTTCTTGACAAAATCAACTTTGGTGCTCTGTCTCCCAGTTCCACACTGGCTGAACAGGAGAACATCACATCCCTTCCAGCATCAAGGCAACGCTGCCAGGGGATGATGATGACAGATGCCCTTATGCTACTTCATGTCATTCAAATGCCTTTCCTTCTGTCTATGAGTGCCCAACAGTTGCCAACTTTGTGTGTAGGCTCTGAGCCTATAGTTGTACATCTTTAAGTGGCTGAATCGAAGAACATCTAACAATAAACAGCCCCAGAGAGGTTACAGCTACTACTGCTGAGCAAATAAAGACAGACAAGCCAAGCCATGAAACAACAACAAGCTATCCCTTCTTTGGTACATGCTTAGTAACAGAAAAGATGTTCCAAAGAAGTTAAAATACCCTCAAGTTAGATGCCTCTGGAAGGACAAAAGGATCCTATGAACATTTTTCTCTGATATTTACATTTTTCTAATCAACATTTAGCTGTCAAAGCCTCATTCACAACCCATGGCTCAAGCTCAGACGTGGTTTGTGTCGAGCTTTCTGTGTGTATACTTAGAAGCTTTCTGAGAAGTGGCTACTGTAACATCCTTGATTGTCCTGTCCTTGTAAATCCTGTTTCTCTAACACATCTAAAAAGGATTAACTTGGTTCAAATTAGCCACCAGCCCATGCTTTGTCCAAACAGGTGAGATAAACCTGTTGGAGTACACGTGCAGCTGGCGTCAGTAAGGCAATTTCTGCCAGGCTGCATTTGCCTACAGCTTTTGGACTGTCACAAGCACTTAACTTGTTTCAAACCACTCTCCTGTTTAATTCAAGAGAACTTTGGCACAGGCATAACGAGCATCACGCTGTAAGTACCCAGCTGCTCTGAATCCTTCTCTGCGCTGACGTTCTCCCTGCAAAAATTGGATTAGACCAATAATTACCTGGTAACTTCTGTTATAAAACCTGACATGAGAACCTGAGAAATTGAATTCATCCCCTAATCATTACCTGAAGAAACCTAGCATGACATCAGAGAAGAAACCCAATCTTTTCTCATTCTCAGCACTGGAGAATGTGGACAAGAAGATCATGACACAAGGTAAAATTCATACATAGGTGTTTTCTTGTGGTAGCTTTAGCAGAAAGTACAACCACCCTGGCAACCAGACAATTTTCCTTTCTATCACTCACACTCTGCCAGGAATATTTCTTTCTAAATCCCTAGGTCAGCTACTTCCTATCTTTTCCTTTCTCATCAAATAATTCACTTCAGCTACAATCAATGAGGAATGAATTCTCTTCAGTCATACGCAAAGTCAGGAGAGTCGGGTTCATCTAAATGCAGCTCCTTCCTCATGGACCCTTCTATCTCTGCTGCCAAAGAATCCTGTGGAAAACAAGCACAGAAGAAAACCAAAGATCATAGTATTAGTAGGGCACCACTGCAGAAAATAACTACTTATATCAAATAATAACTAATAAGGTGTCATCCTTATTATGTTTATTATTATCATGTTTTCCCCTAACCAAGGGTTAAAGGGGACAGGCTACCAGTTTTCTGCTGCTGGTCAGTAAGTTTTACTCCCTAAATGTAGTTAAGTGCAGGCTCTAAGTGTCAAACATTCACAAATTTAAATGGTCTTCTATCCCATGATTCACCATTTAAAAATCATTTTTATAGAAAACACAGAAACCTATCTCAGCACAAAAAACACCCCACAAAACCCCCACTTTTTGCAGCTTTCAACAGTGTTTGTGCAAGTACAACTTGTATTATTAAAGGCTTGCACTTGAAATTGGCCTGTGTTCAGTCTCAGAAGGGGACACAAAGAGGCAAACTAAGCCTTTGCTGACAATTCCCTGCTTGTGAGCACAAACACAACCTCTGTTCTTCCTCAGCAGTTAAGATGAGACGTGGTTAAATCAAGGAGGGCCAGATTCTGCTGCTTGAGTTCTGATTAACCCAAGAGAAGCCTCACTGCTCTCACTGCCCTCAGGCATAATGGAATTATTCTAGACATACACAGGCAAGCAGAGCCAGGCACCAAAATTACCTAGAGACATTCTGATCCCTTTTTCTCCCCTCATTTGGCTGAGGGTGTTGGACATTCCTCGTGCTTTAAATGTACAAGGTCATAATCAAATGAAACCAGGCAAGCAATGCTGATACCACCAGTCACACTGCTGTAATTGATGCTGCCATAATACATATTGGCAACAAATATTCTTTTAATGAAACACTAAATTTTCAGTGACCCTAAACCAAGAATATACCTGTGACCTACTGAAGTACTGAAGGTCTAGAATGTGTATAAGTGACTAGAAGGATGCCACGACTGGAAACTGTTAGTTATGTTATCAGGAAGTGACATCTTCCAGAATATTGGAGAAAAATAGGAAGTTCTGACTGCAAATCAGCCTCCACAGGACAGGAGATGCATAACAAAAGAGGCATAAACCTGTGTAGCAACATACAGCACTATATAAACAGTCCCCCCCATGCTCCTGTCTGAAGCTGAAGCTGGAAGTCAGATGCAAACACATTTCCTTGGGTTGGTTGTTTTCTGGTTTTTCCCTGAAAGCTGCTCACCATGGGGAAGAGCCCGAGCGAGTGGTACCGCCGGGATATGGCTTTGGGCATCGTCTTGTTCCTAAGGTTCTTCAGCTCTTCTTGAGCCTCATGAAGCATTTCCATGCACTCTGCATACTTGTCCTCCAGCTCTCGCAGCTGTAACGTACAGCAAACAGTTCAGCACCTCGTGGGCTGCACCACCAGCACAAAAAGCCTGCAAAGTCTTTTAACACTGGTAAAGGATAATGGTGGAGGGAGGAGACCCTCTTAATGCTTTCCCTAGCAAAGGGATGGAGAAGCACCAGCTCAGCCTTTGTGAAACACCATGAACACAACAGGCCCACCAGCAGGAAAAGCTCTCCTAGGGGCATTCCCACCTTCAGCACCACGTGGTGCAGACACAACACACATCCTCAGGGCAGCAAGCTTTATTTGTTCCATTTCATCCATTCTGGTCATGTGAATGTATCCCCAGAGGACAGGCAACAATCCTGGACTGCCTTTGGTTTGTTCACTGAACAAATACAGCACAACTGAGCTCTTCTGTCTTGTCTCACTACTCACAATAGGCTTAAACTTGAGAATTCAACCCTAAAGAGGTTCCTAAATAGCCCATAAGCCTCAGTTTTTCAAAACATGCCAGTTAAAGGAGAATAGGAAGGAAAAGGCTTTGAACCCTACCAGGAACCTAAAGGTTCTTTCATTCCACACACAGAGGCAAAATTATTTAATGCTTCTGATCCACCTTAGCCTAAAATTCTCACAATGAAGTGAGCAGCCATTGCCCTACCACTAAATTATTGTAATAGTCAGTGATGGACTCACCTCTGCTGTGAGCTGTCTCTGGGCATCTTTAGCTGCTCCCAAATGCTGGACAAGTTCCTCATTTTCAACTGCACACTAAAATATGTCAAAAGAAAGGTCAGAACTACTGTGATGTTCTGCCCTGTGAGAAACACCTTAATATGTTTTCATCCTATACCACAGGTAAGTAGGAAAAGTGCAACTTTTCTCAAGACCCTCTCTGCAGCAACATTAGTCCACACGTTAGTATAAAACCATTTAAAATGTTAATGCAAGAACACCCAGCATCAGTCTGTGCCCTGCTAAATGATCCTCCAAGGTCCTAAAACAAATGGGGACGTGCCCACTGAAATAGATGCACTGACACCCTTACCAAATTTCTTATGTTCAGTGCAGAATGTCACACCTAATATTAAAATAGATTTAGCCATTCTGTTTGATACATCATAAAGGTATCTTTTCATAACTCCATGCTTTCTAGTCAGGTATGCTAGGTATTAAACATCAAACACCCAGATAAGGAGGGTGGAAAACTTCCTTTAGGCTCTAGTTTACAGAGGACTGTAACTTGTCTCCCAGCTACAAAGGCAGCAAATCACAACAGTAGTTTTGCAACTGTTTCCTTACAGCTTTTGCCTTTTTCTGCAGGTCCACTATCTGAGAGAGAAGATGGGTGATTTCCTCCTGCTGCCGGGCAGCATCTTCAGTTTTCTTTGCTAACTCTTCAGAGATATTGGCAATCTGGATGTTTGCATCCCCTTCAAAATAAGCAATTAACAATTAGCATCACCAACGCCCAAGCAGAAAAGCAAGCAGGAAGATGTTCTTTGGGAACATCACTTCAGCAGAATCCTGCCCAAATACACAGCCAAGGTATTTTTGAAAAGCAACAGTAGGACATGAAACCAGGAAGACACACAGTGCTCATGCTGCAGAGAAGACTCCCTCTTAACATTAACATTTTCAATGCAAAACTATTTTGCAACTAAGATTTAGGTTACCAACAGAATTTTCTGCTATGAAATATCAGCCAGAAATTCTCTCCTCACAGCCATCTATATAAGGAAAAGAAGTACCCCAGAAAAACAGGCCTGACTGATCTGACTTGGTTATCTATTTTTTTTTTTTAAACCAATCATCTATATAAGGAAAAGAAGTACCCCAGAAAAACAGGCCTGACTGATCTGACTTGGTTATCTATTTATTTATTTATTTTAAAACCAATCTTGAATGAGAAGTGAAAAGAAATCAGGACATACTTAGCTCTTTTACACAGTCATTGACAAGCTGCTGCTCTTTCTCTTCGTAAGTAATTGTTTCAGTCTTCAGCTGACAGGCCTAGTCAAGAAATCCACACCAAATATGCCACGTTAGCACCTTTGCTCTTTGCCAGTCTGCTGCTGCATATCCATCTGCTTCAGAAAGACAAGCTTTTCTAATCACTCCTCCAGGAAGACAGTGAGAAGCTACAGTTTTGCCTGCCCTCCCTCCTGGGCTGGGAAAAGGGGCCAGGGGAGCATTCAGCAGCTATGGCTGTACAGGGAAACTTGCACCATTATCACCACATCCCACTAGATGTCACTTGTGTCTTTTGCACTGACAGTAAGAAAAAGCCTTGAAGGTATGAAAGACAAGTATGCAGAGCTTGATGCAGTCACCTGAACAAATTAAACTAGTTCATGCTTGGTTTAAAGACTTGAATTCAACACTCAAGTATTTAAAAAGAACTTTCAGACAGTATATGGAAAGTTCTGGCACTGTAACCATATTTTCCACCTATGACCTTAGTGCTACCTCCTGCCCTGTTTTGCCTTTTCCACTCCTAAGGTGCCAAGTGGAGCATGGCCACATCCAGCTGGTTCTGTCTGGCACCACCTCAGTGGGTCTGGAATCTCCTCCAAATGCTGGGGGCACCCCACAGACTATGTCAGTAGAGAACTGCAGAGCTCAGAGGTCTTGGATTGGGCTCCATCCTGTGCCTAGACCTTTCCCCAGCTTCCTTGCCCTTCTCTGGACTCACTCCAGCATCTCATTACTTAGGCTGAACCATCAGAAGCACACAGCATTCTCCACCACATGCTGTCTTCTCCAAAGACATGACACCACCTATCTGCAACGGGCCCTTCATGTGCCACAGAAAATGGTCCTGAGCCTGTTTCCAGACACTCATTCTTAGCTCTGAACTGTTTCTCCTGCTGTACTCTGCTACTTGTTTGCAAGATGGTAACCTGCTCACAAAGGCTAAAAAGCTGCACTGAAAGGATGAAGTTCCTCATGGCATTTTCCATTAGGAAATGATACTCCTGAGGGACAGGAACAGTAAATAAACTTAAAAACTCTGTTGTCTGTGAACAAACAGAAGGAAAATGAAAAAGAAACACATCCAACCTAATAGATTAACAACCTGACTTGAAACACAAACTGAAGATATTTAATGCAAATTCAGGTTAGCCATTTTTACCTTGATAAACACTGGCTGTGTACCAGACAGACCATGCAGCCTGCACACTTCACACCTGCAGCTCAGGTCACCTGTATCTACCAGCTCAGTCCTGTTTCAAGGTGCAGCACTGGGCTCCAAAACCTCCCCATGCTCCTGCACATCCTTTTGGCAAGGAAACTGCTTTGTGTGTAGCTTGTAGCAGGGTTAAGGACAGTGATTCAACAGCTACAAAGAGACTTGTCTCCCATGGAATTGCACCCTCTTAATTAAGACACTCTCAACTTTTAATACACACTTTTCAATACCTGTGTGCTGGCATTTAAATGAAAATCTGTGTAAAGCAAAACACAAAGGGAGCAATTTCACCTCAGATCGAAGCACAACATTCTCCTCTTCAAGGTCCTTGAGCTTCTTTTGAAGAGAATCCAAATGAAAGTAGTTCTGGACGGAGGAGGAAGATTCATTCCTCTTCAGCCTGGTAAAGAAAACAACAGTTTTACCCCATTTTCACCTGGATTATGGCCAATCAGAAGAACAGACTGAGCAGAAGTTTCTAAACCAGCCACATGAAATGCAGTTTGTTCATGCCAGTATCTTTGGGCAGCAATATATTTGCAGTGATTTTTAAAAGTTAACAATTTTAAAACTTATTTATCATTCCACAGACTTCTGGCACCCAGCCAGCCAGCTGGTCCAACACAAACCCTTCCAACGGGTGCCAGGCACCAAGTTCAGTCTCATGAGAGTTCCAGCCCATACAGGGATCCTTTCACTCCTTTTCAAAGCTATGAAATTCTCCAAAGCACCCATCCCTAGTACCAGGTGAAGGTTCAGTGCTGTAGAACTGACTCACGGGGTGGAACAGACCGACTCTGGCTCACTCTCTTCAGCAGCACTGGTGTAGAACTGGAGCAGCTCATCTTTCATGGAGAGCTCATGCCTCAGCTGAGAAACCTGCACAAGGAAAGAGCTTGTGGATCAGTAAATCGATTTTCAAGGCACATTTTTAGCAAACCCACTACAAATTCATTAGCTATCCTCCAAGCATCATCTTCAGATTACATCCAGAGAGCAAGACTAGAAGAGACCAGAAGCACCATGCCCTTTATTTCTTAAAAAGAAGGAAAAGCATACCTTTGAAATTAGCCTTTAAATGTTCTGATTTAGAAGTTTAAAAATACAATTATCCCATAGCTATTCAACTTGTTTCTTTCAGCTTCTTTAAGGTGGACAATTCTGATTCACTGCTGCATTAGTCTAGATTCACATTCCCAGAACAGGATGTATTGCAATGATACTGCAAGAAATTAATGTGGTGCAATCAAAGCAAAGATTGCTTTTATCCATTTTATGTGATGCCTGTCACCTTCTGACTTCATCACAGCCCTTGCAGGCCTCAGATACAGGTAATTCTTCCTCTCCAAGAGACCTTAGATAAAATTACTAACCCAGTTGTGTAGTAAAGTCCCATTTGGGACTCAGTTGCCCGTTGAGCTGCAGAACATCACCTAGTTGCCATTCTGAGGTTGCTGCAAGGGTGGAGGCTGCAGTCAAGTTTTTGGGAGTAGTCTGGGCTTCTGATGACTCCAAAACACTAGTCAAGTAGTATGTGGGAGTCCCATACTTAGCACATACACAGATCAAAAAGGAACAAACCACCAAAACTGGGTGCTTAAGATACCCTGCAATTGTGATCCCCCCAAAATTCATCTTGGTGAATTTATACTGCAGTTCTCCAGGATAAGAGTTAAAAGCCAGTAGCTTTTAACTACTCCAGTAACACTTTTAACTACTACACAGTAGCACTGGCACCACTTTCCAGCAGCAATTTAAGACCCTAGTGACAAGAGATAAATTATTTGCCTCGTGTAGCTATAAATAGCCCAACTGATCAGACTCAGCTGCTCACCCACACTGCAAGACCTGGCCCTCAGTTTTTGCTTTCCAATGCACAAACTGCAGAGCACATTTGTTTTTATTAGACCTCTGCTTTTTGTCTTGTGGGCATATTTGTATTTGTAGTCATTACTGGAAAAATAAAACAGAGAATATCAATAGAATAGATTTCAGTTGCATCTTCATCAAGCCTAAAGCACTTCAACTGTGCAGGATTTTAAGCAAAGAAGGTCCTTTACTTTACTAAGGCTGTTCTGCAACATCAGATGTGCTAAGGCACCAAGCTGAGACCACTGAGACATGGGTTCTAAAGTGCAAGGGGGGATAAAAAACCCCCAACCAACCCCATTTTAGAAAACCATGAAACAAGACCTGAGGTTCACTTTCCCCATTTCAGGAAGAGCTAAAAAGCTGACCCAAAACTGTCAATTTACTTCCCTCCAGCACATTATGGCTCAGCTTCTTTAAGTAGCAAGGGTTCAGATACTGTCAGATGATCACCAGATCATCTCCATCTCTTGCTATGCTTTTTTTTTCCCTCTCTGTGAATTATAAAGACTAAGGATATTATTTTCCTGCCATTTCCAAGTATTCCATTCTCCAAAGGAGGGTGGAACAGCCAGGAAGGGTGATTTTTTTAGTGGAACAGGATGAGAAGCAATGGGTACACACTGAAATACAGGAAGTTCCTCCTGAACATCAGGTACAACATTTCTATTACTGCTATACAATTTATATAAACACAAATCTATGATAAATATTGCTATTATTGCTAAATTATTCATACATATACCCGTAAAGCCTTAACTTTATACCACACACACCAGAAAGAACTTGTCTAACCACAGATAACTCAGAAAAAACATTTTTTAGGCAGTTTTTGCAGCATTTAGGAAGCACCAAATATATTCTCTTGTTCTGTATCTTACCCTTAGACACAGTTGTCTTAGTTACCACCCTGTTCAAATATTCAAAATTCAGCATTAATGGAAAAATCCAAAACCTACAGAGTTTCAATGTACAAAAGTGTCATGACTTTAAAGCCTGACGAGTTCTGCCTCAAAAGCATCAGTTCTGAAGGAGTCATCATGACAGTGAGAGAGATGAGTGTTGGTAGAACATATGGCCTGACATACCAAGCCACCTGGCAAGCAGCTGATTCCTGGTGGCTCTTCTCCTAATGCTGCTCCTGAGCCCCTCTAAATAAAACCAGGCCTGGAACAGAGGCAGCCCTCTCTTCTTCTCCACCTTCCTCAATCAGCTCTTCCATTCTGGATGTATGGTGTGAACACACTGCCCAGACAATAAGCACATGCCCAATAACTGTGAATTGACCAATGTCCATCACATGATGGGACTTTGGAAGCATGCAACAGTTCTCTGGGACAGGGGAGAACTAGTTTTCCTTCCCAAAAAGAGCAGGCCACACCAAAGGATGTGTGTGTGCCCCACCATGATTTATTGTCCACCTTGGACACATCCATCCAGGTTTTAAATGAGATGGGATGACGAATAATTCAGCACCTCGCAACCCTGAGTAGTTTTATTAGGAACCATTTTTAAAGTCTCCCCATTTTAAACTCTCCCCATCACTGCAGATACAGCACTTGGGTGTAAGACTCTTACCTCTTCCCTGATGTGCTCTACTTGCTCCTCCAGGAACTCATTTCTCTCTGTCAGTGATTTGTTCTTCTTTAACAGCGACTGGCCAATGCGAGCAGCTAATTCTAAGTCCCGTTCTTTCTGTGGAGCATCAAGAAGAGAAAGCTAATTTCAGATTCTTTAATCACCAAAGGATCAGGGGGAGGGTAAAATTGAAGGAGCAAGCGCTTGAACAAGAAAAAGACTTTTTCCTCCTGTGAAGGTTTGTTTGGTTGTTTTTTTGCTATGTTTCATGAAGGAGCAAGCGCTTGAACAAGAAAAAGACTTTTTCCTCCTGTGAAGGTTTGTTTGTTTTTTTTGCTATTTTTCTTATTCCTGCTTACTTTACACTTTATCCAGAGAAGACTGACCCATACAGAGCTATCAAACCACACCCACGAAAGCATAGCTTCAAGGTCTGCATAAAAGAATTATTTTGGTTGGGAAATAACCTTAAGATCATCAGGTCCAACCATTCCCCATCCCTGCCAGGTCCCCACTAACCCATGTCCCTCAGCATCACATCTCCAGGGCTTGGAAACCTCTCCAGGGATGAGGACTCCACCACTGCCCTGGGCAACCCTCAAGGGGAAGACTTTTTTTTTTTGTTAGACCCAGGGCTCTAATCTGCCTGGGAGAGAATGATAAACTGCATAAAACTCTGTGCCATTCATTAAGCATCTCTATTATTTTCTTATTCAACTACTAGATCTTTTAAAAAATGGGGAAAAAAGGTGCTAAGGTTAACTCCCCACTTGCCTTTAGTTCAACACCATTCCAGGAAGAATTTTCTTCCCATCACTGAAAATACTGTGTGGGGCTTATTGACCACCCCACAGCCATGCAGATTTTATGACTAAAAGCTGCTTTATGTCATGTACACATCAATGACAAAGCCCACAAAACCAACAGCTACCTACCCCATGGATTTGAAGCCAATGAATTTGCATGAAGAGGCTTTTGTAGTGGAAAACAGAAAGTTATGTAATAATCATTAAATAAAAAGATTATTGATCACTGCTGTACCTACAAATAGCACCTTCCAAATGGGTTCTGAAGGTCAGGCCTGTATCTGCATTGAAAGCTACTGGCATTATCCAGCCATAAAGTATTTATATAATCTCAAGTACAATCTCTCAGAACAATAGGTCCCACAAAGTTATTCAAAAAACCTTTGGTTTACATATCAAGCCAATTTATTGTGCAGTAATTTGGCTCACTTCAGAAAGGCAAAGTGGAAAAAAATATATATATATTGCTGCAGCTTTGACTCTAGAGGAAAAGCTGCCTCTCAGCAAGGTTTCCACCTTCAAATCTGAGGCATGTAACTGTATTTTCAGGCTCTTTCATCAACCTCCCCAGACTTCCTACACAAGATTTAGCAATTCAGCCCTAAACCTCAGTTTGGAGTCAAGCCTCTTACTCAGTGATAAGGCACTGATTTATTACAGCAATACATAAAACACCAAACTGAAGCCAGACACACTGACACTATTATTAGAAGGGGATGACAAAGCAGGTTCAGGAAGGAATCTGCTCCTGTTCTCACCACACCCCCAGGTCTGGTGTCACTCCCTTTGCTTAGTTTCAGGGCAACAGGCAAAGATTTTCAAATGACCTGCCCTCATGTTGTTTTGAGGTCTTCTCTTTCCTATCTCCCCCCAAAATGCTGCAGCTTTCACCCTGTCAAATTTAATACTGTCACTTGGAGCTTGCCAGAAAGCAGCACAGACAAAAGGTGACTTTTCTTCAGTTTTGTTCTGTTTTTTTCCTTCTTCTCACTTGTTTTTGAAGGTAGCAGGAGTTACACCTTCCATTCTGCAAATGAACTGAACCCCTTGTGATAACCATCATTTGGAGAACAGAGGGAGGAGCTGCAAGTGCAGGTATGCCTAGGGATAGAGTGATTCCATCAGAAATGATGGGAAACAAACAAAAAAAAGCTCACTGAAAGTATTCATTAAAGGCTCACTTATTACACACTCCCCCTTCTTTCCTTTGCTATCACCCAGGTAGGGAAGCACACTGCAGGATTTAAAACACTGCCTCAATATTCAGCTCTGCTTCTCTGGAAAGACATTATCTGAGATAATTATGACTAGGAAACTGAACTTTTTTTTTTAATTTTAGAAGAGAACAAATCCATCAGTAATGCTGCTGTCAGCTTTGCATGTACTGTAAAAATGTGTCCTTTTAATATGACTGCCCCTCTCCTCTTCCTGATTCATTATATTGGTAAATATTTGGCCACGAGCAAGTTAAATGGCCTTAAACTGAAAAAATAAGCAGAAGTAATGAATCCACACGACCAAGGTAAACAAATGACCTTTACCTAGAAGGAATATTTACCTTACCAAGGAGATGAAGTACACTCAGGTTACCTATTCCTCCTCACTGGAGGTCAGAGAATCTTACCAGCAACAGCCTTTAGCCCTGGTGCCATGTATTTTCTGCACTACTTTCTCCTACCATGTACAGGTCCTTCAGTGGTTGCCATACTTGCCTCTTCAAGCAGACGTGTGACAGCATCTATGTCATTGTATGTTTTAGTCATCTGGCCCACTCGTTCAGCACATAAAACTGGGGGGAGAGAAGATAAAGCATTCATCAGATTGGCCATACAATCAGGGGGAATGTAGCCTTTCAAGAGTTTTTTCTTCTTAAAATGACTTCTGGGTAAGCATATCAAAAACTAAAAAAGCCCCTCAAAAATAATCAAGATTGAAGTTAATCCTCCAAGTGTTTCTCTTCTGTAATGAGCATTTGGTTTTGTCAGTGGCAGGACAAACCACTCAAGTGTTAAAACTTTCTGCTCTGAAGAGGAATGTCTTGAGTTCATAAACAGAAATTATCAAGGAAGAAGTGAAAACTGATGCTCTTATACACAATTAGGATGTTATCATGTCACCTCATCACTCTAATACATGTAGCAGAGTCACTCCACCAATGAGCAACTCCAGTATTATTACTAAGTGTTCAAAATAAAGATATTACATCATATTAAGGTGATAAGAACTGGGTTCTACAGCATGAGACAGCAAAGTAATTACAAAAAGCATGTAAAATAATAAATTATTCTTATAATACCCAGGCTACACCATAGTAAGCACAGTATCACTCAGGAGAAAAATATTTACTTAGGCTGGGCAAGATGATTAATCACCAAGGTAGCAGCAGGATTTTTGTTAAGCTGAAGGAAGTCTGCAGAAGTTTAGTCTACCACCATGGGTGATCCTTTAAGAACACACAGACCCATCTGGAAGCCTGCAAGTTTTCTAAAAACCCAACAATAACCAGAGGAAGCAGCAGCACCTTCTGCCCTACCCTTATATTCTTTTTATTTTCGGCTTCAAACTCTTCAACTCTGTAGTTCTGGGGAAAAAAATGGGATTGTTCATGAAGTTGAACTGTGTGGACTGTGGGTTACCAAGCTGCTGAGCATGTTCTGCAGGGGCTTTACCCTTGGCAATGTCAGTTAAAGCTCAGCCTGACAGATTAGCTAACACTGCTCTAGGGCTCATTAAGGCAATGGGGGGGACACGATGGGACAGATAAGGCCTAATGAGATTTAAATGAAAAAAAAAAGTGTCTTGAGTAAAGTAATATTGCTAGGAGACAGTCTGTCACACTCAGGAAACAACACTGCCCAATTTATCAAGAGACAACCTACATACACATCAATACACAGCTGATCACCCCCACGGCACATCAATAATCCATCAAATGCAACTGTACTTAGGTATCTGCTGAAATGTTGCAGGATTTCTTTTCCACACTTAAAGATCAGAAAATTGTTTAAGCTATGGCAAGAAGGGCAGTTTCTTTCTGTTTATTTTCCTGTTTCTGTTTCTGTTCAAAAAAGTTGTGTTTTTGTGAATCAAACCTTGAAAAAATTTAGTGTTTAGTGGCACCAGTAGTGCCAGTGAACCCCAAAGAATGCCATTCACAAGTATGCAGAAGATAATTACACTTATACAACCAATTAAGTCTGAAACAGTAAAGTTTATGTTTCAAAGGAATAAGTTGACAAACATTACACAGCAATATAAAGAGTAACTACAGCACTGCACAAGCAGTGTAAACTACTAGCTGGATGAGGCAAAAGCAAACTAATCATCATTCTACAGGAAAAAAAACTGAAGTAACTTGCAGGGAACCTCAAGTATAATAAACCAAGGGGTTAAATAGAAGCTTTCCATAAAAGCTTCTCATCAAGACATAGAGTGTCCTATCCAGGAGACTGTACATGATAAAAAAAAAAAATTAAACACCATAAACACAAGTCTTTTTAACACAGTTCATAAGTCATGCCATAAACATCTATCAGAAACCCTGACGCCAGCAGGTTATTTTCCAAAACAACTGCACACTGAACAGTTCCCTTGGTTATAACATTCCCTCACTGCCATAAAACAATGTTTGAGATTGTCATGAGCCAGTTCTTTCTAACTCCCTCCCTGGCACTGCTGATGACCGTGGCCAGCTCACCATCCCCATCCAGGTGACTGTGTAACCTCCCCAGCATCCCAGCTGATGACAGCACAATGGTCCCAAGCCACTCAGCTGGGAGGGGGATAGAGGTGGAGCTGTGTGGCTGCTCCCTTGGCCATGCCTCCAGAACCTGCCCTTTCATCATTAATGGGGCAGGGGAACACCACCACCTCATCACAAAAGGGCTAGAAAAGCTGTAGAAACCTGGTCACCCATAGCTTTTATAGCTCAAAATCTCCATCAAGCTTCTGTTGGCCATTGTTAAAACAGAGGTCTCCATACATGACCCTACCAACGTGGAAGGGTTTCAAAGCAGAAAGGACACCTCATCCTCTGACACCCAGGTGGGGACAAACTTCATAGACTGCACAGAATAACATGCCTCTTCCAGACAGCACCCTGCAGAAGCATGGACTAAAAGAAGGGGTTTCTTTTTGAAAGGAGGACAAACTTGCACAGTGTTGCCCTCCACCCCTCAGAGATGAAGGCTTGTGGGGAAGAGAAGGTGCAAAGCGAGGGGAGAGAAAGCAGTTCAGAAGGGGCACTGAAAACCCCTCAGAACTGTACCTAAGTATGGAGTCATTCAGCCTCCACAGATAACAAGACAACATTTAACCAGTTGCTAGTGCAGTGATTTTAATTTCCCATGTTCAAAAAAAACTACCAGTGAAAAAGAAGCTGCAGTGAATAATCTGAGCTCTGCTCAGTGAGGTAGGGAAGGGAAAGGCTCCCCCAGACTCCCCAGCTCTAATGGATTCAGCACAGGAGGCTTGGAGCCTGCTGGAGCTTCTGATGAGAGCCTGCTGTAGAACCAGAGCAAACAAGAGCAAATGAAGGACAGTGCTCTGTCACCTCCCCCCCAGAGCCACCTCCCTGACCTCTTTTGGCTCACTTGCTAATCAGGAGTGGGTTTGCTTGAGGGCCATGGGCACACAGGGTCTAAAGGCAGGGATGGGTGCAAGCATCTAAACCAAACGTGCTCTGCACCTCTCTGTGGAATGAGAAAGAAAGAATAAACATTTTTAAAAGTCAACAGCAGGTGGAGGGCCCACAGATTTCCAGAAATGTGTTCTGGTAACTGCTTTAAAACTAATGTCACATCTCCATACCAGGAAACAAAGGACAGGGAAAGCTTTCATCACACTATTTTCATGACAGGATAAAATACATGCTACTGGGACATATTTACAGTTCAAAGTGTTTGTTGGGCTTTTTTTAACAGCCAAACATGCAAACAGATAAATGCTACACAGATGAAGTGTTTCCTCTGCCTTAAAGCACCATATCACAGCTAAACCTAGGGGTACCCCCATTGCTGTGCTTCCCAACGTGAGGACAGCTGGAAGGATGCACTCCACAGTTATTTCTCATTGTTTATTTAATGCAGCATCTGACTGGAAGCTTCTTTTAGGCTTTGAGTTCTGCACGGACTGAAGCAAGGATTCCCAAGCTGAAGATGCTCCAGGAGAAGGGAGGAAAGGATGTCCCTTCCTGGATCACTCCCCTGGATCACACAGCCATCCAGCATGCTGCTTAGAGGAAACCCATTTTCCTGCAGTGAGCTACCACCCCCCAAACACGGGGTTCAGGGGGAAGAAAAAGAAAGGGAACAAAGAAAAATCACAGGAGGCAGCAGCCACAGGTGTCCCCAGCCCCACTTCCCTGTGTCCCTCCTCCCATCCATCAGCCCTATAATCAGGGATAAGGTACAGAACTAGAAGAGAGCACCCACAGCTGAAGAGGCAACCCCAGCTCCCACTGCTACTCTGTCCATCTGTTCCCAACTACAGGGAAGCAGAAAGGGGCTAAGATATTATGGGAAAGTTTATTTTGGGGCAGATTATACTGACACATACAATTATAGAGGCTAACAGAGAAGGTTCTAGTGCATTTCCTTGCTACTGAAACTTATTTCCTCAGAAACTACATCAGGATACAGGATACTGCATCACTCAGGATACAGGAACACTCTTCATGGAGCACAGATCTCTGGTAATTTTAATATTGATGCTTCTTATTGGTAAGGTGGCAGAAGAGGACGTTCCTGAATTTGATAGCAGTTCCCTACCCAAAGCCTTTAACTCTGTCAAGCTCTGCTCTGCTCTCCAGCAGTGATGAGCTCACAGACCCTGCCTCACAAACAGCACCTGTCCCCCTCAGCTCTGCTCAGTGCTCTCTCCAAACTCCAAACACACAGCAGCAAGTCCACTCCATCCTAAAAGCTGGGAATGGAGAGGGAGGGAACACGCAGAGGAACGGCCAACCCGCTGGGGTACTTAACACCCCTTGGCAAGCAGTAGCCAGGGGAGACCCTGGCAGAGTGGGGGCTCCTTGGCCCTCGTTGATTTAATCCCTGCAAGGCCAGTTTTGCACTCAAAGGATGAGGCACTGGCTAAAAGTCCCAGCTGCAGCTCTGGAGCCACCAGCTCTGGCACCCGTCACTGCGAGCACCACATCCACTGGAGCCAAGCACATGAGGAACCCTGAAACTGGGCCAGATGAAGTATAATCCCTTTGGAATAAACTCAGGAAAATGATACCTAAAACGTGCCATCAGCTCTGAGAAAGATTTGGCATGTTTAAAGATCAACTCAGCAGCTTCTCCTCTCAGCAGAGGTTTCAGGTCTGCTCTTGCCATCACACCTGAGACAGCCCTAAGAGAACATGTCCATCTAAAGAGCTTAAAAATCCCAAGAGACCCCTGAAGAACCTGCTTCTGAGACACAGCTTGCTAGAAGTTTGAATTTTAATGCAACACCCTCCAAGTTCCTCCAGCCCTCCCCAAGCCCAGGAGCAGACGGGTCCCTGCAGGAGGCAGATGGGGAGCCCGGCGGGTGGCTGTCACCCTGGTTAGAGGGATGAGGAGTGGTGGGTCACAGCATGCCACCCGCCTCACAGCCACCACGTCACGCCGTGGGCGAGCTCCAGGCACAGATCTAGGAGAACATCACGTTGGGAGTGATGCACACTCAGCAAGCACACACCAGCGTGGTGAAACAACCCACCCAAAGCTCAGCAGCCAAGGCCAGCAGAGTTTTTTCAGTGTTACAGCCTAGTTTACTGGGATTTCAATGGCATGCTTCACTAAT